AGCCTGCCTCAATTCATTCCCCGATCCATGGAATGGACGGTCAACACCGACTCGTTCAGTTGGCTCTGTCGGACATATGGGCGCCTGGAGGTGGACCTCTTCGCATTGGCGTGTTCAAGGCGTCTTCCAGTGTTTGTGGCACCCTTCCCAGACTGTGAGACTGTCGGGGTCAATACCTTTCGGCTGGACTGGTCGAAGTGGGGTTACCTGTACCTCTTCTCACTGGTTCAGTTGTTGCTCCGGGTCCTGGCTTGCTCGGAGACTTACCAGGGGAGATTAGTCCTGTTGGCTTCTTGGTGTCTGCCCCAGTCCTGGTTTCAGGCGCTTCTTCCCTGTTGTCCGAACCTAAGGGTCTTCCCACGGCTCTGCCTCTGTCAGCAGGTCGGTCCGGTACGGTATGTGGCTGGTTCGATCTTCTCCACTCTTTGCATCAGGTCTTTTTTACGCAGGTTTTAACACTACTTGTATGGTGATCAGGTGGCTTTGTTGATGGTGTCCCACCTGCGAGTTTCGTCTAGAGACAATATGAAATTTCACGACAGTCCTTTCTGCACTTTTTGTCTCTTCGTAGCTTGTCTTCGTTATCTGATTTCGGGTTGTTTTGTCCTCTCTCTTGGTTGTTTCAGAACTGTCATCTTATGCCAAATACTGTCACCTCGTATCATGTGGCGCTGGCGGAGCCGGTGCAGATTACATTTGGAGTGGATGTCACTTCTGCTCCGTTCTGCTAGTTTTCTCGAGCGTTATTTCACCTCCAGCCTGCTCATGCACAGCCTGAGCCATCCTAGTCGTTGGACCAGGTGCTCTCTTTTCTCCTCGGTTTGTGGTGGCCCACTTGGTTCAGGACTGTTTTTGTAGGGCTCTTTTTCTTGTTGGCATTGGCCTCTGGGGGCCAAGTCAGGGAGCTTCAGGCTCTCCTCTGGTGCAGGGGTTTCTGCTTTTTCGGTTCTGGTGGTCGTTTCGTTCGTTTGCAGCTGTCTCTCTCTTTTCTAGCAAAGAATGAGTCTGCTGCTTTCTGAAAGGGGTCCTTGGGTTGTTGATGCTTGGCTGGTTTGGCTGGGGGTGCATCATGTTTTATGTCCGGTTGCAGCTCTTCGCCATTATTTGCGCAACGCGTCCTCCATGGCAGGGGATGCACTTTGGGTTGACATGGTTTCCATTCTTCCTGTTCCAGGGCACAGGTCTTCCTGGTTGTCTGCATGATTATTCAGTCCAGCCAGACTGCAGTCTATCCCCATGCTCACGACAATCGTAAGTTTGCGGCTTTGCCTGCTGCATGTTGGTAGTACGTCCAGGGCTGACATTTGGGCACTGGGTTTTTGGAGATCGAACTGGGTCCTGGCCGCATGGTACCTTGTTAATGTCCCTGGCTCCTCTCGAGCGTGTGTAGCCTTGGGTCGCAGGTTGCAGCCAGTTGTCTTGACTTCGAGATGAATAGCGAGTGATGGCCACCTCCAGGGTAAGTCCCTTTTCTTAATCTTTGGTTAGGTAGCTTCGGGGAGCCGAAGGAGCTCCAGGGAGCCAAAGGGGGCTCCCCAAACAGTTAACTTGAAAATAAATTTATACCCAATTCACCCAAATCTTCAGTACTAAAGTATATACAAGTTATTACTAACCTTTACTGATGACTTTGGCGTATGGAAGACGGTGAGGAGAGGATGGAGGAGAGGTGTTACTGTTTGGAAGGAAAGTCTCCTTCCATTATAACATCAGGCAGAGATGTTATAATTTTGACTTTTCTGGGGTACACTCTTTCCTACGTTTTGCTGCATGCCACTAGGACCTGCTTGTGGCTCACTGCTTGTTTTTCTCACTAAAAACTAAAGACGCTCGCCTGGCGTTTCGAGAGCACTTTGTCCTGGGTTTGTATCCTGGCCTGGGAGGATTTACTGGGTGCAAATCCTTAACTGAAACCTCTGTTTAACCCTTAAACTGCACAACACATCATATGATGTGTTGAGTAACTTGCTATAAATTGCGCATCAGGTCATATGACGTGTTGGAGTACTACGCAAGATTTAAACGACCCGCGGATACACGGGGTTCACCACACCATCAGCAGGGCTTTTGTAAACAGACACCATTAAAAAAAAAAATCGTGGGCCAAATTCCTGGGTGCGAGGGCCTAAGTATTGAGTGAGCCACCAAGACTGATGCATGCAGCATGAGCTCACAACACTGCTGTTCAACTTGTGACCACGGCATCGCCTAAAAATGCCCTAATATATATGTTCATGATATTATTTAGCAATGATAGTATTACAAAAGACCCCTGACTATGATAAAAATGACCAGGATTCTGATAGTAGCAGGATTGTTGTGATAATTAGTGCTGTAGTGGGAGGAGTAATCTTGGTGGGGAGGGAGGTAGTGTTGTCTGCTGACTCTGTGTGAACCCCTTTTACTGTCTGGACTCACTATACCAGCTTAGTTGTTCGCTATGGTGAACAAAACATGCAGATACTTATATATAACGTCTATATATAGTGAATAAAAGCAAAAACAGTATTGTGGGGAAGAGAATGGTGGCGAGTCAGGTGAGGTGAGGGAGGGAGGAAGTGGCAGCCAGTGGCGGGCTGCTACTGCCACTCAGCATACCAACTTAGTGGTTCGTTATGGTGAACATGAATGTAGACACTTACATATATAATGTGTATACACAGTTAAATATCAGCAAAAGGAGTGTGGGGAAGAAGCCATTTTGGTGATGGGGGGTAACAACATCTGCATTATTTCTCATGTTGGTAGGGGTGACCACTATGCTCTTTTACCATCTTAGTTGAACAGGTATGGTGAACAAAACATGTAGATACTTATAATGTGTGTATAGGGAGATACTTATAATGTGTGTATAGGGTAGTAGTAGGCATCCTTCAGTCTCGGGAGACTATGGAGTTGCGCCCTAGTTGTCGATCCTAGTGCAGCGTCTGGTGTGACTGATGAGGCCAATCCGAGAGTGGCAGTCCATCCCACACCGAGCACAAACGAAGTCCAATTCTGGTCCGTCTTCCTGGCTACCGGCTTTCCTTCTCTGTCTCTTTGTCTTTGATTCCTTGGCAAGTGACTCCTCGAACTTGGAGAGACCTCTTTGAACAGACTGCCTCCAGGCTGAAAGGTCTGCAGCCAGTGTCTCCCATATAGCAAGATCAACGTCCATGGCTTTCAGGTCCCTCTTGCATACGTCTTTGTACTGTAGCTGGGGCTTGCCTATTGGACGCTTTCCCTGCATCAGCTCTCCATACAGGAGATCGTTGGGGATCCTGCCATCGCCCATTCGCACAACGTGCCCGAGCCAGCACATTCGTCTCTGTTTCAGCATTGTGTACATGCTAGTGATTCTTGCTCTCCTCAAGACAACGTTGTTTGTCACCTTGTCCTGCCAGGTGATGTCCAAGATGTGTCAAAGGCAGCGCATGTGGTAGGCATTCAGCTGTCTTTCCTGATGGGAGCAAAGTGTCCAAGACTCACTGCCATAAAGGAGAGTGCTCAGGGCACAGGCTCTGTAAACCTGAATCTTAGTATACTCAGTTAGCCTATTGTTAGCCCACACTCTCTTTGTCAGTCTGGACATGGTAGTAGATGCCTTACCGATTCGTTTGTTTAGCTCTGTATCAAGAGAGAGGGAGTCAGAGATTGTGGAGCCCAGGTACACGAAGTCGTGAACGACTTCCAGTTTGGAATCGGAGATGCCGATGTCAGGTGGGGAGTCCACTCCTTGTCCCATGACTTGTGTTTTCTTCAGGCTGATGGCGAGTCCAAAAGCCTGAGAGTTCTCGCTGAAGCGGGTCATGAGCCGTTGGAGATCTTCGGCTGAGTGGGCAGTGACTGCTGCGTCGTCGGCAAAAAGGAAGTCGCGCAGACACCTCAGCCGAACCTTCGTCTTGGCACTCAGCCTGGCGAGGTTAAAGAGCTTTCCATCCGACCTGGTCTGGAGGTAAATGCCTTCCGTGACAGATCCGAAGGCATGCTGCAGCATAACTGCAAAGAAAATCCCGAATAGGGCTGGAGCCAGTACGCAGCCCTGCTTTACTCCACTTCAGATGTCAAAGGCGTCTGATGTTAGACCATCAAAGACCACGGTGCTCCTCATGTTCTCATGGAAAGATCTGATGATGCTGAGGAGCCTGGGTGGGCATCCGATCTTGGGGAGGATCTTGAACAGGCCATTTCTGCTGACGAGGTCGAAGGCCTTCGTCAGATCTATGAAAGCTACGAAGAGTGGCTGCTTCTGTTCCCTGCATTTCTCCTGCAGTTGTCTGAGGGAAAAGACCCATGTCAATGGTGGACCTGTCAGCTCTGAATCCGCATTGTGATTCTGGATAGACTCTCTCTGCAAGTACTTGGAGCCTCTTCAATGCGACACGAGCAATCACCTCGACTGTCGCATTGAACAGTCCTCGAGTCGAGGACTGTCACCTCGACTCGAGGTGACAGTCGTCCCTGTCACCTCTATTCTTATACAGCGTGATGATCTTGGCATCCCTCATGTCCTGTGGCACCTCTCCTTCTTCCCAACAGAGGCAAAGAATTTCATGCAGCTCCATGAGCAGGCTACCTCTGCAGCACTTCAAGGTCTCAGCAGGAATGCCATCTTTGCCAGGAGCTTTACCAGAAGCAAGGGAGTCTAGGGCATTGCTGAGTTCTTCCAGGGTCGGTTCGCTGTCGAGCTCCATTAACACAGGCAGACAATGGCGCTCAGGACATGTTAGGCTTATATCGAGGTCCAAACCCCGCCCCTCCCTCCCCCACTAAAGGTTAACTACAACATCCTCCCCAGGATGCAATCCCACAACAAGCCTGGGTATCCACTTACTGCAAGGTGAACCATGACATTAAGTGATAGGAAATGAGCCCAACCATATCTGTCCGGCCTGGGACTCGAACCAGTAATTCTCGATTTTGAATCGATAATGAACATGACCGTACTACTGAGATTTCTACTACTTGAACATTGTTATCACTGAAAGTAATATTTTGTGATAAATTAATAATATAAATACCTGAGCTGGTAACTTCATGAACTCGTCAGCTATCTTGCAGAGCTGGCTGTAAGACACTGTATTTTCATTTCCAAAGTCTACACATTGGACATCCACTTTGCATTTTCCAGGTAGGTCTTTAATTAAGACTCTATACCACTTCTCATCCCCAGAAAATTTAGCAACACAAGGCATACCTGGAAAGGTGAACCAATTAAAATGTAAAATATACAGAATAACCATCGTAAATAAAATGGAAGTCAACAAAATTTTTAAAAATTAAAAACTAGCACTGAATGTAATAAAATGGCTTTTTTGGGTGGGCTACTCAGTCACTCCTAGAAACTAACCACCTGGATGTCTCTTCACAAATCATGTTTGGCAATGTTCTTACAAATCAAGAATGCCTACCGGAGACAAGAAACAGAATCTGACTCAAAGAGGGACAGGGAGCTGAGGATACTAAACCATTCCAAAACGAAAGGAAATTCCAACAGACCATCAGATAATAGAAACACCCCAAAAACCAGAGTTGAATGTAATGAAACGTCATTTTCTGGGCGAGACCCGGAGCTATCCGGGCTGATATGTTTATTATTAGACTCTGGTATAAGTCAGTGTGAATGGAGTACTAGGCCTAATGAGGACCACGAGCCACAACAAGGCCCCCTCAGAGAGGCACGAGGAGCAATGGCCTATAGAAGTGCACATATGTTTGAAGCATTCTATGTTTGCCATCGACTGGGTCGGGCACCAAAAAGGTAAGCACCTCGAAACAAACCCCTGTTCTGATTAAAATTACTACGATCCCTGGAAGACCTCGGGGCTTCGAGGGGTCGCATCCATTTGACCCCGTGCACACCCACGGGGTTTCCCAGGGCCCCTTAGACTTATCGCTAAGAGAAGCCCAGGCAGAGTACTGCGAACCGGCGCCCAATCTACCAAACAAACTTCTAAAAAGTTCAACCCTCGAGACGTGTCCACTCACGAGGGCCTAACAGAGGATTGTACCAAGAACAGAGATGGATATAATCCTATATAGATATAGATAGGGGGCAACCAACCAAAGGCAGACCCCCACCACCAGGCAGGAAAACAAAAACAAAAGAAAAACTCCGCAGGAGGACAATGTACCCAGGTAGAACAGAGCCGGCCGCTATAAAAGGTGGTAAGCTGAGCAGTACCCTGCACCCCTACCGGTGCAAACTACATCTTCCCAAAGGCAAAGAAGGGTGCAGAAAACACCCCAGCACACTAAGGGCGGTTGATCACCGAGACGTAAAAAAACAGCGTTGAAGGTAATGAAATGCCATTTTCTGGGTGAGACACGGAGGTCCCACAGAGCTTATCCAGGCTGATATGCTAATGTCAGACTTTGGCATCAGTCATATGTATGGAGTTTTATGGGCCCACCGAGGACCATGAGCCAGAACCTGGCCCCCCTCAGAGAGGCAAGGGGAGCAATGGCCTATAGAAACCCTCATAGTGGTTGGAAGCATTCTATGTCTGCCATCAACCAGGTCAGGCACCCAGAGAGATAAGCGTCCCAAAATAAACCCCTACTCCGGTGAAAATTGCTACCACAAGCCGAACAAGTGGATAGAACTAACCTACAGGAAACGAGCAAACGATCATGAGTCACACATCACCACGCCACTGTCTGCGCAGCTCCCCCTCCCCGGGAGGCGGAAGGGAGAGCTCCAGACCTACCGTGCTGGCTATCCACCATTAGTTCTGAGGCAGGATGTCAAAAAACGTGAAAAACCACCGACAGGAGGGAGGGATACCAAAGAGCCTCCAGGTCTCACCCAGAAAATGGCCTAGTTTTCTGGGGGGAACACCTTCGGCTCCCCGGAGCTAACGACCCAGAGAGGAAAAAGGAGGTGTTACGAACCCAAGTTCATCGTCCGAGCACGGAGCAGTGACGTCAACGCTATCTGTGAGTTCGCTCCCGAAACCCCACAAAATGGACGACGCCATCTAGTGGTGGCAGGAATATACCAGCTCGACATGCTAGATTCTTGTCCTGGTAGCTCGTGAGGTAGCTAGTGCTGACCTCTGGTGAGGTAGTGCTCAGAACATCAGCGCCATCTATTGAGCTAGAAGCTGTACATTTGTGGATAAGCCAGTAAGTGATGTTTCCTAGTGGTTCCCATGTAGTGTCCCAGTACTGATGACGTGTCTGCTTTCACAGCGTCAACATAGGGCTGCTGCGATGCAGGAAGAGTCAGTCTACCCAAGACAGCCAAGGTCTCTTCACAAGTCTGCTTTGCAGAAGCAGTGAGCCGCCGCCGGACGAGAACTGTAGAATGTTCAACTGTCTGCCTGAGGAGTGGCAGTGACGGGATTTGCCGTACCCGGGGCTGGCTGGTGAAAGAGACGGCCGACTGTGGTGCCGAACGAGGAGAGTAACCAGTGAGTTACACGAGGCTCCTGCCTAGGGCTCACAACCTTAGTATTCGCTCGTGAAGTGGCCTGTTACAAAATAGTAACTAAATGGGTAAAGCGCTACAATTCCTGTTACTATCACAAAATAGTAACAGGAATTGATAAAATCGATAGGGAAGATTTCCTGAGACCTGGAACTATAAGAACAAGAGGTCATAGATATAAACTAGCTAAACACAGATGGCAAAGAAATATAAGAAAATTCACTTTCGCAAACAGATTGGTAGACGGTTGGAACAAGTTAGGTGAGGTGGTGGTGGAGGCCAAGACCGTCAGTAGTTTCAAAGTGTTCTATGACAGAGTGCTGGGAAGACAGGACACCACGAGCGTAGGTCTCATCCTGTAATTACACTTAGGTAATTACAGCAGATGAGAGTTCTAGACAGAGCGATCAAGAACACACCAGTTAGCTAGCAACCCATCCACACACCGTCAACCCCAAAAGACGCATTCATCAATTTAAATTACACTTGATATGGACAGTTGGTGAAGCCAGGATATGATATTAGATTGCTACTGGGTTGCAGCAGCTCACAGTGTTGTATAATAATATTTTAATAGGAAGCATCGTGGTAGACTGGGATCTCGGACCCAGTATTCACGTGGTCACCAGTTCAAACTCTTTGTAGGTAGTTAGAGGTTTCTGCGTTATATGACAGTGCTGGGTAGACGGGACACCACGAGCATAGCTCTCATCCTGTAACTACACTTAGGTAATTACTTCAGGTACACCTGGCCACCATACCACGAACAGCAGAGGACACTGAAAAGTAAGGTAAAATACTACCAGGAGACCGAGGCCAGAGTTGACGACCGCCCAGGATTGCATTATCCAACGAACTGAGGTTGGGTAGCCAACTAAAGTCCAATACTTTAGTGTGTTTGGGGCTCCCTGCTCCCCCCACTAGGGGAGGGTGTGGGGGGCTGCAGAGAAGGGCAGCACAGCAGAATTGTGCGAAGTTTGCTTGTTTCCTTGGGAAATGAGGGAGTTCTGCGCCTCTGTTCGGTTTTTGGTTGTACTTTTGTTACCATGTGCGGTCTATTTTGTTATGCCTACCTTTGAGTGCCTAACCCCAGTTGATGGCAGATAAGGAAAACCTCCAAACATATTGGGGGCCTGGTCCAGGGCCATCGCTCCTGTGCCTCTCTGAGGGGACAGAGGCACAGGGATGTTTCCCTGTGGTTAGCTCTGGCTCGTGGTCCCCGGTAGGCTGAACTCCTTTGACTAATACCCTGGTCTAATGAATTGCATATTAGCCCAATAGCTCCAAGGAGCCGAAAGGGCTCCCCCATATATATATTGGTTTTGTGAGGATTTTTGGTGGCCTGTGAATGCACCTCCCACTTACAGCATTATGCCTATGGAAAATCTCGATCCGCATTCTGAACAATGCTTTACAAACACAGTCTCAGATTATAACTTATTTGTAATTGGGTAAATGCCTGTAATTAAATTATATAAACAGAAAATTAGTACAGACACTTATACAATATACAGTGAATATTTCATGATTGCCAATTTCTTTAAATATGAAAAATCTTGTACAGAACATACCTATTTTTGGTGCATAAATATGCCAATCCACTGTGGCACAAACTTTTGGAGAAGAATAATGTTTCTGTAAAGCTGCCATCAAGTCACGAAGATCCCCACTTGAAGACAAGAGTTGGAGATGGAATTTATATGGAGATGACAGATTGGAGAGAATAACTGGTGTTCTATCTTCACCAAAGGGAATCTCAGGACGAAAGTATGATTGTTGGTAAGCAGCAATACGGTTCTTCTCATACTGAAAATACAAAAGAAATAGGGGTTTAAACACTTATGTTTGACAGTGATTATGTAGTTAGCATCAGGAATCATCATAATCATTTAGACAATATCAACACAATCTGTGGAAGTGCACCCAACCCCCCAAGGATTTTAGGTGTGACAAGGACAATGCCATCTGTTGGGGGGAGGTATGGCAATCTAAACGCCATCTGTGGAATGCTCCTCATCATTATTCATTTAGGAGGTGGGTTGAAGACAATGCCCACTTGTGAGGGAAGTGACAATATCAATGCCATCTATTGCATGGCCCCGATCACATTTTCTGTTCCCTGGTGAAAGGCTGCCATCATCTATTAACCTTGTGTACTGTCTTGCTAATTACTTTTATGTCTGCAGAAGTGATGAGAAGGGTATCTTGGGCTCTAGAAGTCAGTTCACCCAGGGCAGTCTAGAACTCACGACTTGTTCCAGCAAGAAGAAGTGCAAGAACATGTGGCACCCGTCGGCAGAGACAGTGTTTTGTCTATTATAAGTGTGAATTATTAACTAAAACACTTTTACTGCCTAATGCTGCATATTCCGTCATAAAACCAAAATATGGAATATGCAGGATGATGCAAACGACGTCACTAATTTTAAAATTTGTAACAATTCCATTTATTTTTCGAATACTATGGGATTTGTTTTAAAATGCACACCAACATCTTCCCATGCTCTGTATATCCCACGTGGCATCCCCAACCCCATGGCGTGGGTGGCCACCCACGTTGGAAGCCCATTGTTCTCTTGACGACGATCGTGACCACAGCGGCCTCTCGTCGAGTCGAGAAGTTACCCCTTTCCAGTTGTTTTATCTCGGCTATTTGTTGTTACCAGAATAAAACACTGCTAATTTACTTACAAATGGATAAGGATAAAAAACAGAGCCAATCCAAGAAAAAAGCAATAAAAGAAATCCGTATGAGAGAAAATTTTTAGTGTTCGTCGAAAGTATAAAAACGTTTTACGCACAACAACAAAATTTCTGGCTGTAGTTGATGAATTTTCAGGCAATGATCTTGACAGTGCAGTAAATGATAGTAATGTAGATAGTGAGGTGATTCGAACCTATGTCTAAAAGCTTCCAGACGTTGCCTTTATCGACTGAGCTACGACATGGTCAAGAGAGTTGAAACCAGAAGTTCTACTGAACTTACTTAGATCCTGCAGCCTCTCCAAGGCACAAACCTGGGTTTTACACAACTCCCCCAAACTCAGTCGATTAAAGCAGTGTCTGGGATGCTCTCAGATGTAGGTTCGAATCCTCATCACGGCCCTTGGGGTTTGGTTCATTGATGCATCACGCAATTGTGATTTGTGTGTAATGAAATAAGGGCAAAGAGGTAGAATGGCCTATTGACATAGCTCGAGTGCATGGGGGAGTTGTGTAAAACCTTGGTTTGTGTCTCGGAGAGGCTGCAGGATCAAAGCAAGTTCAGTAGAACTTCTGGTGTCAACTTTTTTGACCATGTCATAGCTCAGTCGATTAAGGCAGAGTCTGGGATGCTCTCAGACGTAGGTTCGAATCCTCATCACGGCCCTTGTGGATTTGTTCACCAGTGTTGAATGCAATGAAATTTCCTGGGCAAGTCCAGGAGGCTTCCCAGCAACCCTCCCTCCCTCCCTCAGGTCGACAGTTTTTCGCGTGTTTTTGACATCCAGCCTCTGAACTGGTGGGTGGATGGCCAGCCTGAGGGTCTGAGGCTCCCCTTTACCCCTCCCGGGAAAGGGTGAGCTGTGCAGACATGCGGCATGGCTCGTGTGATGTCATGCTTGTTAGCTCGTTTTCATTTGGGGAGCTCTGTCACTAGTTGATCTATTTTAGTCGTTTTAACCATAATAGGAGTTAGTTTAGAGGCGTTTATCTTTCTGGGTGCCTGTCCCGGTTTTATGTTTTTGTTTCATTTGTGTTTGAGAATATGCATCAGTAAATGAGCATGATTCTGCATGTTAAAGTTATCCCGCGAGTTTTCGTGAGAGGAGTGACCCTGTTCTCCATGTAAGAGATAGAGGGCTGGGACTCCACACACACACACACACACACACACACACACACACACACACACACACACACACACACACACAAATTGCAGGTAAAGGATAATATCCAGAGGTTGAAAATGGGAAACAGATTCACGGAAAATGAAAAGGAAATGTGTGAAGCACTAAACGAAAAGTTCCAAAGTGAGTGTGTACAAAATGAAATCTTTAGGGAACCAGATACAATAAGAATTCCAGAGAACAACATAGAGCGGATAGAGGTGTCTAGAGATGAAGTGGAAAAAATGCTAAAGGAGCTCAGTAAGAACAAAGCAGTTGGCCCAGATGGAGTTTCACCATGGGTTCTGAGAGAATGTGCATCTGAGCTCAGCATTCCACTTCACCTGATCTTTCAGGCATCCCTGTGTACAGGAATCGTAGCAGACGTGTGGAAACAGGCTAACATAGTTCCAATCTACAAAAGTGGCAGCAGGGAAGACCCCCTCAATTATAGACCTGTATCATTGACAAAAGTAATAGTGAAAGTATTGGAAAACCTAATCAAAACTAAATGAGTAGAACACCTGGAGAGAAATTATATAATACCAGACAGACAGTATGGTTTTCGCTCTGGAAGATCTTGTGTATCGAAATTACTCAGTTTCTATGATCGAGCCACAGAGATTTTACAGGAAAGAGATGGTTGGGTTAACTGCATCTATCAGGACCTAAAAAAGGCTTTCGACAAAGTTCCACATAAGAGGTTGTTCTGGAATCTAGAAAATATTAGAGGGGTGACAGGTAAACTTCTAACATGGACAAAAAAAAATTCTGACTGTTAGAAAAATGAGGGGCAATAATCAGAGGCAATGTATCGGACTGGAGAAATGTCACGAGTGGAGTGATGTTTATTGTCTACATAAATGATCTACCAGTTGGTATACAGAATTATATGAACATGTTTGTTGATGATGCTAAGATAATAGGAAGGATAAGAAACTTAGATGATTGTCATGCCCTTCAAGAAGACCTGGACAAAATAAGTATATGGAGCACCAATTGCCAAATGGAATTTAATGTGAATAAATGCGATGTTATGGAATGTGGAATAGGAGAACAGAGACCCCACACAACCTATAAATTAAGTGAGAAATCTTTAAAGAATTCTGATAAAGAAAGAGATCTTGGGGTGGTACTAGATAGAAAACTATCACCTGAGGACCACATAAAGAACGTTGTGCGAGGAGCCTATGCCACGCTTTCTAACTTCAGAATTGCTTTTAAATACACGGATGGCGAAATATTAAAGAAATTGTTGACGACTTTCGTTAGGCTAAAGGTAGAATATGCAGCGGTTGTGTGGTGCCCATATCTTAACACTTTCGCTACTCAGTGGCGCGCGAGCGTGTCACTAACTATTGTTTGGGTTCCGCAAAGCTGACACTCTCAGGAGTCACGAGAATAAATATTTGTATAAATTCCAATTTCGATCTGATCTACTTGGGGATAGTTTAGAAATGTTCGACATGAAATTTACGTTCTCTCTAATAGCCGAAGAGCTTATTTGGGAGAACAGCATGGCAGTGAATCATTGTGGTAAAACAACTGTATTATTGACACGACGAGTATGATCGACGTAGTTTTTATATTTGTTGCCGGTCAAACGCATCCTTATGTAACGTTTTATACACATGTTCTTCTAGAACATTCTATTGCGAACACATTGGTACAAAAATGAAATACGTACAGTACATCGAAAAATAATGTCAGGACAGTGAATTGAATATACACTTTTCGATGCGATTTTGCCGATATGCCACCACGGGTAACACTTCGGCCACTTCTCACACTCTTGTGGGTCAGTTGCGACATTGACTCTATATTTATATGCATATGTCCGTGTAGAGAATTTTATTGCGATTTCAGTGATACCAAAATTAACCCTGTAGGACAAGTGTGGAGTTGAGAACCCTGAAGATAGAAGAAACATTTCGTTGCTGTCTGGCGCTCACGGCTAGTCATCGACGTAGTTTTTTATTTGGTGCTGATCTAACTTATATTTTGGTGACATTTTATACTTATGTTCTTCTAGAACATTCTATTGCGAGCACATCGGTACAAAAATGAAATACGTACATCGAAAATTAACGTCAGGACAGTCAAAAGAGTATACACTTAAATGTTGATCGCCGAAACGGTGATTTTACTTGGGCAAAGTTTTTTTCAAACGCCGTTTCGCGAAAGTGTTAAGAAGCACATCAACAAACAGGGAAAAGGTGCAGAGGCATGCTACTAAGTGGCTCCCAGCATTGAAGGGCAAGAGCTACCAGGAGAGGTTAGAGGCATTAACACCTTCGCGCTCCGAGCCCTCTTATTATCATCATAAGTTTTTCTCCTTAACCACCGTGCTGCGCCGAGTTTATTGTGAAATTCCCCCCTGTGCGCATGAAATAAGGGGTTCCCAAAAAATTCTTTTTTCTTCGTAAAATCATGAATTCCTTGCCCTGGACATGTCTATGTAAAAATAAATACCAAATTCCACTTTCTTTGGCTGTGGGAACGTGGAAGAGGTGCCCTGTGACGTCATCAGGGCCTGGTCACCCGTGCATGAATCGTGCAGACACGGTCGCGCGGGCCATTCAAGCACCGGTTGTTGCCAGAAATATATTTTCAATTATTTGTTCTATGTATTTCCAATGCAGTTTTTTTGTTTTTTTTATCATATATGATGCATATGTGTCCTTTACAATATGTATACAGTAGAACGTTCATTATCTGCCATGGAACTGTGATACATGTGTCAGTAATGTGCCCACAATAAATGTTTATTGTCACAATATTACTGACTAAAAATTCACTAAAATTACAATATGTACAGTTTCCCACACTATTTACACATTAACACACTGTATTACACACTCAGTACTTTGGAAGTGAATAATAATCAACGAAGTAGTTCATGGTGCACAGCGCGACTTCACTCTCGTTGCACCAGGT